CTAGAACCGGTGCCCATATGGGATGCCGGTGCCGCAGGCAGAGGATCAACCAAGTGTGCCACGGTGCCGGCCCCGTGGCTTGGTTCTTTTTTTTTGACAGGCAGAGTGGACAGTGAGAGAGAGAGACAGAGAGAAAGGTCTTCCTTTGCCGTTGGTTCACCCTCCAATGGCCGCCGCAGCCAGCGCGCTGCGGCCGGCGCGCCCCGCTAATCCAATGGCAAGAGCCAGGTACTTCTCCTGGTCTCCCATGGGGTGCAGGGCCCAAGCTCTTGGGCCATCCTCCACTGCACTCCCTGGCCACAGCAGAGAGCTGGCCTGGAAGAGGGGCAACTGGGACAGAATCCGGCGACCCGACCGGGACTAGAACCCGGTGTGCCGGCGCCGCAAGGCGGAGGATTAGCCTAGTGAGCTGCGGCGCCGGCCGGCTTGGTTCTTTAACCTCTCTGATACTCACTCTTCTCTATTTTCAGAGTGCTTATGAGTGTGAAAAGTCATGAAAAGCCCCTACTATACATGGAGGTGAGGAAGGAGGTCATGGAAAAAGGAATTTGAAGATAAGTTTAGGGACCGGCAAATCACGGGTTAACACCCTGGCCTAAAGTGCCGGCATCCCATATGGGCACTGGTTCTAGTCCCTGCTGCTTCTCTTCCAGTCCAGCTCTCTGCTGTGGCCTGGGATAGTGGTGGAGATGGCCCAGGTCCTTGGGCCACTGTGCTCACGTGGGAGACCCGGAAGAAGCTCCTGGCTCCTGGCTTCGGATCGGCGCAGCTCCAGCCATTGTGGCCATCTGGGGAGTGGACCAGCGGATGGAAGACCTCTCTCTCTCTCTGTCTCTACCTTTCTCTGTAACTCTTTCAAATAAATAAAATAAATCTTTTAAAAAATAAAGCTTAATTGAAATCCACGCCTAGTTTTTCATAATGTGCATTGTCCATGAACTGCTGGAAGACTCCTGGTATTTATGTTTCAAAATGTTTGCACCTATGGCCGCTGGTTCAAGCCCCAGCTGCTTGACTTCTGATCCAGCTCTCTGTTATGGCCTGGGAAAGCAGTAGAAGACGACCCAAGTCCTTGTGCCCCTGCACCCACATGGGAAACCCAGAAGAAGCTCCTGGCTCCTGGCTTCAGATTGGCCCAGTTCTGATCATAGTGGCCATCTGGAGTGAACCAGCAGATGGAAGACCTCTCTCTTTCTTTCTCTTTCTCTCTCTCTGCCTCTTCTTCTCTCTCTGTGCAACTCTGACTTTCAAATAAATAAATAAATCTTTTAAAAAAATTTTACGCATCAAGTAGACTTATGTTTTAATTCCATTTTCCCAATTATTATTATTTGAGAAATCAAGAACCAGAGTGACAGACTGGCAGAGATGGCTCCCATCCAACGGTTCACTCCCCTAAGGCCCGCAACAGCCAGGAGGTGGGAACACAATCCAGGTCTCCCATGCGGGTGGCAGGGATCCAACTACCTCAGCCTTTGTCGCTGCCTCCCAGGGTCTGCCTTAGCAGGAACAGGGGTCAGGATCAGAGCTGGGAGGGTGCCCAGGTGCTCTGAAGGAGAACTCTGGCCCCTTAGTGGAAACTTCAGTGCCATTTCTCTCCACACATTTGGAAGCAGCCTCCTTGTGGCATGTCCTCTGAAAGTCCTAGGCTGATGGTGGAAAAATGGTTTCACCAGGAAGACTGGGGACAGCAGGAGAGAGAACCACAGCTCCCAGCAGAGGAGTGAGACTGATGGGTTTTGCAGTTAAAGCTGTGTTAACATTGTAATCCCTTTATTAGCTGTGTGCACTTGAGCTTCCGCATCCACAGCATTGGGAGATCATACTCATGAGGCCGAAGTCATAGCTAACTTAATGTTCATAAAAACTTTATTACAAACCTTGGCACCCACCCGGGAACAAAGAACATTTGAAAAAGACTTAAGATAGGGGCCGGAGCTGTGACTTTGTGGGGAAAGCCTCCACCTGCAGTGCCGGCAACCCATATGGGAACAGGTGTGAGCCCCGTCTGCTCCACTTCTGATCAAGCTCCTTGCTAATGTGCATGGACAGTAGCAGAAGGTCCAAGTGCTTTGGCCCCTGCACCCAAGTGGGAGGCATGGAAGATGCTCCAGGATCCTGGGTTTGGATCAACCCAGCTCCGGCTGTTGTGGCCATTTTGGGAGTGAACCTGTGGATAGAGACCTCTCCCTCTCTTTCTCTCTGTCTTTGCCTCAACTCCCTGTAACTCTGCCTTTCAATCAATAAATACAGCTTTAAAACAAAACAAAACAACTTAAGATAACACAGTGGAAAACAAGAAATTTCACAAGAAGACAAACTCTGGCAGTCCCCTCTGGCCCCCTAGAGGAGCGGACGCTGGGGCCCAGGGCAGCGCGCTTACCTGCAGCTGGGAGTGGTGGTACATCCAGCGCAGGGCGGCCGAGGTCATGCTGGGGGCGCTGCTGCCATACGCAGCCTGCAGGGCCTTCTCCACCAGGGCGATGCCCTTGAAGTGCTCCTCCTTCCAGTAGCTGGGCGGGTGGGGACAGGCACAGGGGTCAGACCCACGGGGGTGGCACTGGGGGCCAGGGCCAGAGAGCCAGGCAGCCAGCAGTCCCCGCCCACCCTGCTGCACAGAGGGGCGTGTCCCCTCCACATCAGCCTCCCCAGAGGCCCCGACGACATCTCTGCTCCTGAGAATCACGCACCTGCCCCCATCTGACCCAGGGCCACCATGGAGCAGAGACAGGGCCGGCCCAGGCTCCTGAGCCTCCAGCCCTGGTTCTGTCTTTCCTGCCCGGCAGGTGACTTCTCAGGGCAGAGCTAGGATGTGGAAGACCACGTGGGCCCAGGACCCCCACTCCTCACAGAGGCCCCAGAGCAGAGGAAACCCCACTGAGGCTGTGGCAGAAGTAACGCAGGCTGTAAGAGATTCCAACCCCACCCCCACCCCGAAGCAGCCTGGCAAATGTGCTTCTCCCCTCCAACATTCCAACAACTGCCCCTCTCCCAACCCCCACCACCCTGCACAAAGACAGCCCCAGCTCACCGATTCCTGTTGATCTCAGCCCACTTATTCCCAAAGAAGCGGCCCACCGGCTTTATTTCTGCATCCTGGTCCTCATACTTGTACCTGCCCGTCAGCAGGCCCCCTGCAGGAAAGCTGCTGTCAGACCCCTGGCCCAGAGCCCTCCCACAGGCGGCCAGACCCCTCTGGGCCCTGGACCACAGGTGGGGAGCCCCAGGGTTGGAGGAAGGCCACAGGAGGGAGCAAGCTGCCTGCCCCTCCTCCCATGGCCCCCCTTGCTTCCCAGGCCCTGGCTGGGTGTCCCCCCCACCCCACCCCACCCCCGGGCAGGAGCAGCAGAGACAGAGCAGAGCCTGGGCTCCCACCCCAGGAGGGCTGTCCCCAGGGGGATGCATACCAGCCAAAGGGTTGTAGGCATAGAACCTCATCCCAAAGTGCCTGAGGCAGGGGAACAGCTCCTTCTCCACCTGGCGGGTGGTGGCGTTGTACATGCCCTGGGGGAGAGGCGCCAGCTGTAGGGGGGCCCACAGTACCCTGTGGGACCCTCCGTTCAGTCCTTACCATCCTAGCACATCAACCATCAGGGATGTGGCATATACTTACGGGGTGCGTATGTCTAAGGAGAATTCCTTCATTCAACCTCAGTGCTAGGCACCCTCTGGCTCAGTACCAGAGACCCCACAGCCTAAAGTCCATGTCCCTCCAATAATAACTTAGAGCAAGGCAGACAGTAAACAGGTGCAACCGTGGAAAGAGGCCATCCGTGTACAGTGGGAAGTTCTGGGCCCAAGCCTGGCGCTCACCGCGTG